TTATTCTTTTTTTCACCACTCCCTTTCCTTTATGTACTTCCTCTACGAAAGCGGTAGCACCACCACCACTAAAGCTAAAGAGAAAACAGAAAAGCCTCTATGCAACCCCGGCCCCATCACCTGTCTGGGGTTTGCTACTGACTTCTGCAGAGACAAAATGTTACATGTAGAGTCAGAGAAATGTCCCAAAGCTCAAAGTCATCCAGATGTCTCACAGACAAGATTTATGGCCGAAGCACTACATTTTAATTGTTTCGTTACAAAATATATTTCATGCACTGTATTAATAAAAGGTCACTGAGAAAGCTATCAAGAAGGATTTTAAAAATTAATTTAGAGATCCATTTGGTATGACATTTATCAAAGTAAAAAAGTAAATGCTGGAAAGTAAATCTTGTCGTTCCTCTGTTTTCCAGAGTCAGCTTTTTATTGCATCTTCTAAGCAAAACGTAAGTCATTCTTACTATAAACAAACAAAGCAGATTTAAGGAAAGTCATCAGAGGCTGAACTACCCTCAGATGAATCCATCTGGTTTACATTAGGGTAAGCATGAGACTTATTCCTAAGAACTACAGAAAAGCTTGAATTGTGACTAAAATAACTTTCAGAGATTTTTCACATAAAACAAATGAATGTAACTCCTTTAACTTTAGAGTATATGCACCCATTTACATATGCTATGGGTGAACCCTCCCTCTCTGAACCAGGCCATAAACTTATACCTAACAAATTTGTGAATACTCAGGGACATACATTGGCCTATTGATAAATCTACAATTTTATATACACGTTTTAAAAGTTTTACTGAAGTCACTTTCAATTATGCAGTGCTCCAACTTTTCCAATTTCCTAATGGTGCATTTTTTAATACATTTTTAAAGCAACTTAGAAACTGGTAAAGATTCAAGGAGCCACAATATTTTGCCTTACAACCAGTACCATTTGTATATATTCGAATTAGAAATACAGTGTGGCAAGAACTTCATTTTGCGTAAGAGAAAAGAAAAGGCCATTTGCAAAACAAGCTCTATTTCCCTGTGATGTCTTTACAGCACATGGCATTGCTACCTCACCACTTCTACGCAGTAGGTAACGCCGCATACTAACAACACGGCCAACTGGAAGCATACAGTGAGACCTCTTTTTTTCCCCACTACATGCAGGTACTTCTAATACGTGTACAAGGTACTTTCAGTGGTTTTCACTTCCCACCTCTCAGTCAGGTTCAAACACATCTAGGAAGCCTAAACTGCCCTTGCTCCTCTGCTTCTGCGTGAAACTGAGTGGCAACGCTGAGTGCTGACATGTTTTTTCATCTGAGCAGTAAGCCTATATTCACTTGTCAGGTGTAGAATTAAAAACATCAATATAAAACTATTTATTAATTAAAGTTGTCAGTCATCCACTACAAATCAGCCATCTTACCCAGAGTTATACCAGCCCCCTCCCCTCCACAGTGCTCGCTCTCTGGTCAGGCTACTTATCACTGCTACTGGTGATTATTTTTTGCAATTTTTCACAACAGGCCACTTGGGTAAAGCAGATGATTACATCTTCACCTTTTGCACCTCGGTTGCAATCCCAGCCTTCCCCTCCCTGGACCTTCCTCTGGATCCTTAATTACTGTTCCTCTTCAAGGCACCCGAAGCCCACAGGTATTATTTTGGTTTGAGCAGCACCCACATTATGCTTCAAAGACACGTTCCTCTTCAAAAAATTTATAATCTATATAATGGATTTTCACACTTGAACTCCAAACGTAAATTAAAAGTTTACGATGGCCTGCACTCCTCACCCCCAACATTCAGCTCAGAAGTGTTTTCACAACCATAAGTGACGTTACAAGGCAATACATGTGAATTTGGGGAGGGAGATGAGAAGAGCGGAAATAAAGTAATTTTTTTTCTCTCCACAGACAATTCCACTGCCGCCACTATTAAAACTAACCATAAATAAAAAACATGGAACCTGGAGAAATGCTTGTAGCTACGAGGTGCCCGGTGGTTGGGCAGCCATACACTGGAGTGTATTTTCACCCCTCCAAGGGACTGGGCACACGACACCCCACGTTGGCCACGTGAGCAAAGGTTTGCTCCACATCACCCTCTGGGGCTCTGTGACGGGCATCTTCAGCGGACAAGGCAAGTCAAGACAGACACCCAAAAGATAAGAAGGACAAAGCACCTCTTGGAGGAACTATAAAGGAAGCCTCGGAAATTAGCTTAGAATAAACACCTGTCTTCTTGGCAGCCTTTACCTATGTCTGCATTCCCATCTAGAAAACTAATCACGTTCACTTTGGATGGAGCATCAAGTTAAATCACTGAGATGTAAAGCACTGGGATAAGTTTCCCACCAGGGAGTTCAGCACTTGTTTCAAGAACAACCCTCTGGTAAGAAAACAAGGCAAAATTAGAGAGTCCAAGTGAAACGGGGATATTTACAGAGTGGTCAAAATAACTCACATCACTACTGAGAGTGTAAGCTCCCAGGGGAAGGGACCATCTTTTTCTTCTGCCTTTGTGTGGTATCTTGCATCGATGAGCACTGTAGACTCCAAGATGCAATCACACTACACATAATAAACAATACATCCAATGCTGTCCTTTCTACTGCAATTCTTCTTGCTCCAGAACTCCTCTAGCCACACCAGTTTCACCCCACAAGAAGATGGGAAAGGTTACTAAAGACAGACATCTCCAAAAAGCATGTATATCCACAGCTTTCTCCTGGGTTAATCTTAAACCTAAACCCTGTCTGCAACTTCAGGAAAGAACAGCCAAAATAAAAAAAATAATAAATAAATTAATAAAACTTTTCTGATGGGAAAGGAAGCTCAGACTTGACAGTCAACAGAAGTTGGGGAATCCCAGTCTTTGCAAAACTGTAAGATGAGGCGAGGTGAGCACTGGACAAGAACATCCGGCAGTGGATGCTGTCCTAGGCAAGGGCTAGACTAGCCAGTTCCTGAAATCCCTCCAATCCTATTTCCTCCAACACCTGTGATTCCTCTGGGGAAAAGCGTAGGGGAAGCACTTTCTGCCTCACCCCCCCAAATAGCTTCATCAGACACAAGGCTCTTAATAATACAAAAGGCAAGTAGCAGAATTCAGACAGAAACAGAAAGCACAATCTGGGCAGAGATGCACAACAGAGGAATGTAGGCTTAAATTAATTAAAAAAAAAAAAAAAAAAAAGGAAGAGAAAAAACAACTGAAGCCTAGCTTCTCTCCAAAAACTGCTCCTTAATCTAAAGTGTCCTTGCAGATGACTGGATCACATCCAAGCAGCCTCCAACACTCACAGTCTAACAGCATTTGTCCTTTCATCAAAGGTCACTGTTTTCCAGGCTACTGAGTTTCTTTGCACATTCCTAGATCACACTTAAGCTCTGTTGCATTATACACATTTTTCCTTCACAGGGGTTAAATGAGGCAACTCAGTTTTATCTTAGAATAAAGCAGTGGTTAGGGAAAACCACATCTATCAGTCAGCATGGTTAAGCAGGAAGAAATCTGGAGCTGGCTGTTAGTAAATTATTTAAGACAAGAATAAGGGCAGACAAAGAATGAACAGAGAAATTGAAATACTTTGGCTTCCAGCGAGTGTGGGCCTCTTAACCCTGTAGCATTCTCATTTTTTTCTATATTTCTGTGATATACACAGAATTTAAAAAGATAATTAAAAGGTAATGTCATACGCCCTGCATTGGCCAAATTGATCCCTAATGCATGGAGCGGCGTTTTAGAGAAAAGCACTCACAGCAGCAGTTCCTCATAAACTATGAAGAGCTGAATGGGCGATTTGTCTCCCTTTTCTCAGTGTAAAATCATCAGAGAGAGATCTGACATCAGTGAAAATTCAATGGATTTAAATGGGGACCCCTCAGAGGTGGGATGTGTGTCCATTCACAAGCTTCCATATGCGAGAGAAGTATGGGAGGGAGGAGTCCCATCTCCAAGCTTTTTCAGGAAGGAAACACCAACCGCCACCCTGTGAAAGTAAGGCTATACAGCAGCACTCTTAAATATTTATCTCTGATGATTTTGGGAGCTCAACCAGCTGAAGCTACCAAGCAATATTAGGTAGTGTTTACATACAACAGCACGTAAGGCATCATGTTAAATTTAAAGCTGCCTAACACCAACATACCTGGTCTTGCAAGATCTGCTACAACATCTTTAAGCGAAAACCATGACTTCTATTAGTACGCATTTCGTCATTACTCACGCTCCCCTGTTCACTACCATGGGAAAATTGTTTAGGAATAAATCTTAGTCAAAATCAGTCACTATATCCTTCTTCTTAGCATGGTTCCACCGAGAGTCACAAATCTGTAGCGAACTTGCTTTTAAAGGTAACATGCACCTTTACAAAGCTTTTTCATTTCCCCACAAGAATTCTTAAAATATACACAGAATACAGGAAATCAACATCAATGCTTAAAACTCAAGTGCAATGACATCTACAGGCATGTGGCTCTGAAGAAACCTTCTGAACACCCTCCTTCACAGCAAACTGTTTTGCAGCACACCTAACCTGAAGATTAATGCTCTCCATCACAGTCTATCAACAGCATCTGCTGAACTGAACACAGCCTTAGAATTTCAGCGCTAGGCTTGAGGGTCGAGTTCATCTTTGATATAATCCCATGAAGCTTCCAGAGTTTCATGAGTGACAAGCTGGGCCTTTTATGTTTTTCTAAAGGGGTCACCAAGTATGTGACAGCCAAATAACATCACCTGCATACGTGGAGCTAAAATAGATGCAAAAACACCTGAGGAAAGGATCTCACCATCTGACATAAAAAAGCAAATTCCTTGTGACATCTGACTGAACATCACTCATAGCTCTTTTTCAGCTCTTCAGCTCTTGAAACATGGTTTAGAATACCATTAGCTGATCCCCTCTAAGATAAATATGCATACATCTCAAATTTTATCTTTATCTCTCTGTATATCCACAGAGATAAACAAAACTCAAGCATCTGAATTATTACTACTTACTAGACAAGCCTGAGGCAGGAAGCTGTTCACCCTGGAGATACTCCACATGCCCTCGAGGTACTGCTGAGCTTGGATGGTGACCGAGCTCAGAGCACCGCTGAGACCGCTGGGGGCCACCGTCACTTGAACGCTGGAGTTTGGAAAACTGCCCGCACCTTGAGACCACCCAAGTCCCTTCTTCCTCTCTGCTCCAGAGAAGAGATTCGGCGGCTTTCCAGGCTGCCTGCCCACCTGCCCAGCAATGAGCGGCAGGTCTCTTTGAGAAGAGACTGTGACCATCCTGGGTACCATGCTGGCCACCGCGCCGGCGCTGGGCGGGAGGTCGGGCATCTCTGGGTAGCTGGCTTGAGTGAGGGTGTGCGTCATCTGAATGGCTTCCTGCTTCAGCTGATTCAAGTGAGTGGCACAAGTTTCACATCTGCTCTCTCCTTCATTCCTGTTTTTCTGTAAATAGTCAGGCACTTGAAGCTTGTCGAAAATTAAAGCTGATAATCGTGGGTCCTAAAGAAGGGAAGAGAGGCAGAAAAAACATACTGAGTTAAAACAATGCAGAAGGATAAAAAGAAAGAAAGAGACAAATGTTCTCTGTGATTTGCTCTCCGCCCGTGGAAGTACTTCTTTCTGGTACTTGGAACTGGATCTGTTCTGGTAACCCTCAGCTTTTTTTTCCCCAAATACCCTAAAAGACTTGCAGGTCACAGCAGATTAATAATCCATAAGTGAATTCATTTGTATGAGACCCAGCATGAAAATTATCATCAGAACTAAACAGTGGAGCTGCGGTATACTTGATAACTACTCATTCTCCTAATTAACTCTCCACTGGAGACATCTAACACGCCTGTGTTTCCCATGCTCAGGAACAACATTAGTTGAGATGCTGACCCTTCAAACATCATAATTCGCTTCAAAGGCATATCACCACCTTAAACCCAGGAAAATTAGACTTTAGAGTACTTAAAAAAATTAGTGTGTGACCTGGTAAATGTTTTGTTGTCCTCGCCCTCAGAAATTATTAATCAAGTGGCATAAAAATCCAGTTTACATGGTGCTGCCCACAGCTGGCTCCTCTGCTAGCGAGGACCGTTATTTCCGATCTTTGCAACCCAGATGGTCGCAATATTCCCTTACGCTACAGTTGCTTTGATGAGAAATAGATTTGAGCCTACAGCCATGTGTGAAGGTGTGACAATGTGCACACTAAGAAGCTGATTTAAAAGCAACACCTATTTTGTTTCCACAGAGCAATTCCCCCCCGCTTGCTAGTTCATTTTAAGGCTGCCCAGGCATTTTAAAACCCAGGTCCGTGTTTCCAGTTCAGAGATAGAGTTACCTATCTCCTGAAACACACAAACACCTTCCCATCCCGGGCCTGCTACTGTAAAGATTAGTCAAGAGATTAAATCCAGCCCTGTTGTAAACCTGCTATCAAGAGTAATGCCGTGCAGTAAAACTGACCCAACTTCATACGCTCTCGTTGAGCTCTCTAAACAATTAAGGTTTTAATGAAATCACAGCACAGCCAAAGGTTTATTTGTGTAATTATTTTAAGTGAAAATATTTAATTTGCTTGTTAATAATGAGGGCACACAAAGCTAGTAAGCCAGCCATCCAACATATGCTGGGGGTATCCCCAGATCAGTACTCATTTTTAAAAATGTATTACTTTATGCCAAGCTGCAATTGCTCTCTAGGAAATGAATGTCCTATTAGAAAACTAACTAATGCTGGTTTTAATTACAACACACATCAATAAAACTCTTTTAAGAAGTCTTGGCGCTGGTACTTTGGCTTTGCTCATTATTCTATTTCAGCTGTGCTATTTCCCTTTGCTCTGAATTCAGAAAAACCTAGAACACTGCCTAACTTCTGCAGCAGCAGCACAAAATTTATCTAATTTTCAGCTGCTGGACTAGTCCTGCAATATTGTTTAATCTATCTCAGAAGACACGGTACAGTGTTGATAGAAACCATTGTGACTATATCTAGCATCACATCATTCTGCAGCAAAAGCCATTAAAAGAAGTTGCTTTTTCCACCGTAACCTAAATTACTGTTTATTTACTGACTTAAAATTGAAAAAAAAAGGTACTTCTCAGGCTAAGGAGAGTTTCTGCTGCTGAGTGAACAATAAATCGCATTCACATTATTGAACTGGTTTACAAAATCAAGTGAAAGACACTGTTTCATTTTTCTCTCTCCTCTCTTTATTGAGGTTTGGATCCTGGTAAAAATGCCTTTGAAGATGCACCATTTGCTTACCCTCATGAGCAAGAAAATTCTTTCCCTCCAAGCCTCCCAGAAGACGATAATACTAAATTAACATATATTAGTCATAAAAAAAAAAACCCAGTAATTAATATTTTAGAAACTTTTTTCCTACCCCTTCAGCAGAAAGTGCTATTGGTTAGACTTAAAAAATATTAAAACTCAGTGCTGCAAGCATTATTAAGCCTCAGGCAAAACAAAGGCCACGCAGTCTATCTCCCAAGAAAAACAAACAGCACAACCCTCTGCAGAAACCTTTCCAAGGGAGAGCCCTCCCAGCAAATTCCTGCCAAGGCTGACACACAGCATCTATTCAAACAGCACCAGAAAAAAGCACCTTCCAGCGCCGGGTGCCCCATCCGCGGCCAGGCACATCCCTGGGCTCGCTCCTTTGATCCGAGTTGGGCACACAGGGAAGCACCTGCAGGTCCCGACCGCGTCAGCCTCATCTGGCAATGTTTAAAATTGCTATCAAATGTCAAAAGTTTCAAATGAGCAGTTAAAGCGAATTACTAGGTGAAACAGGCTTCTCATTTAAAAGAAACGACTTCTTTTGATGTAAAGAAAATTAATGACCCCAATTCTAGCTCCATAAACACAGTTTACAGCGTAAGGCAGATCAGAGTCAGGCCCGTCTCGCATTTACAAGGAAATCGAGTGGATGCCATATTAAAGGGGAGAACAACAACAAAAAAAATTGTTTAAATCTATTTATTTAGAAGATTACACAGAGCAAGCCATATAAGCACATGGTATGCCAAATTTAAATCTTCTAATTTATTTATAGTAAAAAAAAAAAAGAAAATAAAGCCATCTCATTTCCAGGGCTTGTATTTTGCCAAGCGTTTACAAGGAGCCTTTTAACCCACTCGTCCAAGCTCTGTGATCCCCAGTTTGCATCTGTGGCCATCCTCCTCCAGCACCTCTCCGAGGGCCCAGCTGTGCGGTGAGATTACTTTTATTTTTCCACCCTGTGTGACAAAAACACCTGGCTAACGGTTGGGCGCGAAGGGCAGAGGAAACACCAGTTACTGTTAAAAACATTAACCATAACTTAAAAGTTAAGCCCGCCCCATTAAAGAGGTTTTACTCCCCGGTGACAATGCCTGGTCCCGGGGGGACCCCACGTCGGCAGCTCGCGCCCTAACGAGGCTGGGGTGGAAGTTACACGCTCATGTTTTACAGAGGGAAGAAATAAAACCCGAGCGACCAAATGCGTTAGACGCACACGGGGGGACACACACAGTCCAAGCCCCCCTCGTCAGGGCTGCGCCGGCAGAGAGGCAAGACAAAGACGGCGTGCGAGTCGCTGGGGGGATTGGCGCAAAAATTAAACACACAACATACACACCTCCCTTCCAGACGCTGCTCCAAAGCCCATTTAGTCTGCTGTGCTACAAAGAAGGCGACTCCTTTATTCCTGCACAGCATAAATAAACTGTGCTGTCTTTGTCACACCTACTTTCCAAATGTTGTTCTCACCTTCTGAACAAGCAGGATAAGCAAAATACTGCGATGCGGTAACGTTCGCAGCCTCCTCTCCCGCTACGGAAACCAAAGCCCTAATTTCAGTCTCAGCTGGTTAACTTTCGCATACAAATTTTAAATATTCAAAACATCACAGACTGTTAGAGGGTAAAATAAATGGTCCCACTAGGGACAACTGCAGTGGGGAGCCCAGCAGCCCCCAGCGAGGTCAAGGCAGGAGGTAACTACATGTACTTGCACGCGGAAGGACTTTCCTGCCTTCACCGATGTTTTTCAGCAAGCGGTTCTTACAGACACGGGCAAGCGTGCAAACTGCTGCGGGGATATTCACCACAGGCGTGCAAATTGCCTGCACGGACGTGGTCTGCACGTCCTTCCAAGCTCAGGGACACCCAGACCGTGCTCCCGCTAGAACACGCGGCAAAACGCCCGTTTAGTGTAACAACCAGCTGCATTTAGCCTGGAGTTTGCCTTCAGGCTTTATCTCTGAAACCAGGAGTAGGGAAAACAAGCCCACATTTGAAAACACGTCCAGCAACATGTAACAGAAAGAAAGAGTCATTTCTACGATTCTATGATTTTAATTCACGCTTCCCTCTTTGATGTGTACCTCAACTGCTGCCCTGCCCGCCCCCGAAATCCAGCCAGGAGCAAGCAGGGTTCCAGCTGTGCGGATAACACCCACGGGCTGCACGTGGGGCACACAGCCCCACAACTGTAAAATACTATGGCCTTAACCCCTTTGCCCTTGAAACTACAGACATACTCAAAGCAACCGGGATGTGGCCAAAGGCCAACAGCTCTGAAAAGCCCCTCTACAGCTTCGGCACCGACCTCATAGCCACGTTTTCAAAAACATGCAACACCAAATGACCTTGCTGGAGCTGAACTCTCTTGAAAACCTGAAGCAGTCCGTCAGCGTTACGGCACTTAAAAAATGGGATCCTTTTGAAATTTTAGCATGATCTGTAAGTTCCCAAGTATATAAAGTTTGCAGTTAGAACATTTGTTCAGCTAACAAGGAGTGAGCTTTTCCGTTGCAAAAACAAAGGTACAAGGTTAAAATCTTACCTGCAGCTACTGACTTGTAGCTCCCAAACTAAGCAAGAGGAGAGGACGCAGAAAAGCATCTGGATCCTCACTTAAGAAGTCCCTGAAGTAATACCCACCCATCTGTAACCTAATCCTTTCAGCGAGGAACTATCCACAGAGTGCGAACAAACGATGACGAACACAAGATGAAAAGTCAAACTGCCAACAACCGTCCTCAGTAATTACCTGCAAGTCTGCCTGGCACTAGTTTCTGCACTGCAAGTGTATCTGGAGCACTATTCTGAATTAAATTAAGTTCTTGATATAAAGATAATTGAAAAGAAAGAAAAATCACTGAATGTCACACTGAAATATATACTTAAACACAGACCTAGGTAAACAACATTTTTAAAGGATGCTTTGAGAGAAAGGAATGTACTTTCCCAGTGCAAAAGAATCAATGTTAATGATTTTTTGTCTTAATTGTCTTTCCAGGTTTCTGCCGTGCTGCTTACAAATTAGTTTTTATCTTACATGACATTGTGAAATATCCACTAATATCTTCTATATTGACAAATACTTTGAAGGCTGATGCTTGCTTTCAACTATATAGCAGTCGTTGTCAGAAAAGAGAAGAAAAAGAGAACACTATTCTCAGCAAAACCAGAGGCTGCTCAATGTAATTAAGGAAAAAAATAGTGCTAATGGTTAAT